ATCTGTCGCGACGAAGCTGGTCATGGCGTTTACGACCTTGTGCTTCCGCCTCGCGAGCAGCACCCCGATGTCATGTTGAAGTGCTGCTCGAGTCTCTCTGCCTTTTCTTTGACATGGCCTTTAGCCGTGTGGCGGCGCACTTCACTCGGGCAGCGCCAGTGGGGCGCAGACCACGCCCTGGCAGCGCCAGTGGGGCGCAGACCACGCCCTGGCAGCGCCGGTGGGGCGCAGACCACGCCCTGGCAGCGCCGGTGGGGCGCAGACCACGCCCTGGCAGCGCCAGTGGGGCGCAGACCACGCCCTGGCAGACCACGCCCTGGCAGCGCCGGCGGCAGCACCTGGGACGTGAAGACCACGCCCTGGCAGCGCCAGCGGCAGCACCTGGGACGTGAAGACCACGCCCTGGCAGCGCCAGTGGGGCGCAGACCACGCCCTGGCAGACCACGCCCTGGCAGCGCCAGCGGCAGCACCTGGGACGTGAAGACCACGCCCTGGCAGCGCCGGCGGCAGCACCTGGGACGTGAAGACGTTGCTGAAGAGCAGCTTTTGAGCCTCGTGGTTGGTCACTGTCCTGATCACAGCTAGCATCACGCTGGCTCCCAGAAAAGATCTTGGAGGTTTTTTCGCTACTCCTTAGCGCAGTGGCAGCCAAACGTTTAGCAGTACCCATCACTGTCGCCCAGGCCCCGGGCGCAACCCTACCGCCCAAGGATGTTTAGCAGTACCCACCACTGTCGCCCAGGCCCCGGGCGCAACCCTACCGTCCAGGGACGTTTAGCAGTACCCACCACTGCCACTCAGGCCCCGGGCGCAACCCTAACGCCCAGGGACGTCCACAGTCATGAACCGATTCGGTTTTTACCAAATGGGATCGGCTTGCCGGGCATGCACCGCCTTGGACCGTGGTAGCCGTACAAGCGGGCCATGCACTAGAACCAGCAAAGTCAGCACCACAGGACCAGCAAAGTCAGCACTACAGGACCAGCAAAGTCAGCACCACAGGGCCAGCAAATAGAGGCTAAATGATGGTTTTGAATTTATGAACACAGCATTTTGAGTAAGGCCTACGATTGAATACATAATCTGAAAAACGAACACACACACACACACACACACACACACACACACACACACACACACACACACACACACACACACACACACACACACACGCACGCACGCACGCACGCACGCACGCACGCACGCACGCACGCACGCACGCACGCACATGCATGCACACACACACACACACACACACACACACACACACACACACACACACACACACACACACACACACACACACACACACACACACACACACACACACACACACACACACACACACACACGCACGTACGCACGCACGCACGCACGCACGCACGCACACGCACGCACGCACGCACGCACGCAAGCACGCACGCACGCACGCACGCACGCGCACGCACGCACGCGCACGCACGCGCACGCACGCACACACACACACGCCAAAGCACGCACGCACCTACAGACCGTCAGTTGGTCAAAATTGCAGCCAATGCCCTCGTGCTTCGGATGCGGGCTCCTACGGAGCTGCCAAATTACAGGTTGCTGTCCTCTCAGCAAGCTTTGCGGTATCGTGCTGCGGTCTCATGGAGCGGTCCAACGACCACAGCCACTGGATGCAGGTCATTGCTGAATTTAAGGATTGTCTTAAGAGGAAATGCATGTGATGCATGCCTCCTTATGAGCCCTGTGGTGTTTGCGCTACGGTGTTAATGTTTCATTATGGGAATGATAATCGCTTTAAGGTATATTGGCATGTACCTTATTTTAACGGACTTAGATAATCTGTAAAAGCCATGGTATAAAGGCATCCGAGATAAAACACATACATAAATACATATGTAAGACACCTTCTCTCCTTGATAAGTCCAGTTTACATGGCCGTTATCCCACCCACTTTCGCACGTGCAGTGCTTTTTGTATGGCCTTTCCCCGTACAGACGTGAAACGGTGATGAAAATTTGACCTGGAGTGTTATAACTGTGATGAAGCTGGAGGGATCCGGGCCGTGGTGAATGTGCTCGTTGCTCACGGAGTTGGTGGAAGAACCCGCACTGCTAAAAGTACTAGCAATTACATACCCTGGCATAGGAATCAATAGCTGAAGGATAATGATGCAGAGTGAGAGATAATCTGTGACTGGATGAAGCTGGCATGGGAACCAGTAACTGAGCTTACACCTGTGTGCACCGTGTTCACACGTGCGCGAGTTTGCAACCTCACGCGTCGTACCTCGGCGGACATGGCCCACCTCAACATTTTGTTCTGATTTGAAGTAGCCAGATTGCAGGACACTGACAAACATAAGCACACACAGAAATTCGCTGTAAAGAAAGCATAAACGCAAACATTTTACCAAAACCCCATTTCAACCGCCACGCAGACGCGCGAAATTTCTTGCATGACGTGAAACAACATCGAATGGTATCGATCCGTTTAGTTCTTCTTGTCTGCCTCGTTAAGGGGAGTGTTCCACATTTGTATATTGAATAAATTTGAACTTATTTATGTGTTTTTTATATATGGAAGCTACAACCTTCGGGTTCACCAAAGTTAAGCAAAACCAAACTCGAGATCAGTTTTTAAAATGTTTTCAAATTTCCACACGAGCCAGCTTTATTCTACACACTCCATCACAAAAAATATATTATGCAGGGCCGTTTCAGGACGGTGATCTTGGTTGACCCTAACAAAACCTAAAGGGCAAAGCCTTTCAAAGCCATTTTCGCATTTCCGTTTAAAGTCATCGTCAAAAAGCATCTAAGTCGGCAAGTTTCGAAGCAAAATTAATGCTGTTCAGGGTCACTTTATGCTAGTGACACATCCCTACCTTCGCAAAGTCAACACAGAAATATACTAGCCTCCCTGTGATCAACGTACCAAAAAAAGCGTCAAAGACTAGCCCATTATTTTTTTTCTGTCAGAAAACTGCTTGGCTTTCTCCTTCACCGCAGTGTTGCGCATTTGCATGGCGTTTGAACTAAAATGGCTACCTTGAGGACCATTCGTTGCAGCTCACACCCCATCCCTTCTAAGACCTAAGTCCTTCTAGTTCCTGAACCCTTCTAGCTACACGCCCGCGTTGGTGTGCGAGCTATTTCGGGGAGAACATTTCAAGGCCACCGAACATCCATGACGTCATAATAATGTCATTCAAATCCTGCTATTCCATTGGCTGTACGGCGATCAGGGCCAAGACAAATATGATCGTCTGTTCGCTCATATATGGCGCTAGTAGACACGATTTCCTAATACATAGAGCGATCGTCAATTGACCCTCAACTGATGTTGTGCAAAGTACGATGACATAATCAAACAATGGCATATTAAGGAGCATATTTACTGAGCAAAAAAATTATGTTGTCTAGAGCAGCGTTTTCCACTTACGAGCATACACATAGTTACAGGTGAGGTTAATTTGTGATATCTGATGCTAGCTCAATATCTTAAAATGTGGAGTATTCCCTTTAATCTGACAGTCATACCTCACCGAATGTCAAAGGGATTAGCTGTCATCGTAGCCTTATTTGTCTATTTGTCTAAGAAGCCATCACAAGTCTAGCATGACTTCGTCCAAAACTTCGTTGTCGTATCAGTTTGAAAAATTTCGTATAGCTGACGACGACCAAGATCTGACTTTAACATGCTACCAGGGTTCTAGCTTCATATTCAGTTGAGAGAGGGTTTCAGCCTCCCCCAAGCTTAAGTTCCAGCCCCCGCCCCCCTGCAGGGAAAAGGTGCGCCCACTCTGAGAACAGACTTGTTTTTTTGGCGTATTTTGCGGAAAAGGTTGGGTCATTCTTCACTGTTCAGGCCCCAGTTTAAAAGTAAGACTACGCCCCATGTCTGCAACCGATCAGCGACATTGCAAAGAAATGCTTCTTTGCACGATCAGATCGGCGTATCAATTGCCTATAGCCAGGCAAAGTTTGGCGCCGCTACGCCGCGGCGATCAGGAATTATTCTGATAAACCTTAGGGGAACCGAATTCACGCCACATCTGAGCGCGTGTTGATAAGATTAGTATTTATAGCACTTGCATTTTCTTAGAGCAATATCCGTGCCATTGCCAGCCTTTTCTGTTTCATTGAATGCTGTATCCTCTGAACAACACCAAAAATAATTTTCTTAAGCGCCCGCGGGGTTCATTCTTAAAGAGCAAAGAGAATGGTGGTGCTACAAACTGAAGTACGTTGAGCATAAGGATTGCTCTGTCGCTATTCGATGTCAGCGGTTCGGTCGCTGGTAGTGCTCACGCCGCAACCGTCCACGTCCCGCCTCTCGGCGTTAAGCTGCCTTCACATTAACACGAGCAAGCTAAATCTTCTACTGGTGCTGTTCTAGCATCGTGGTCCTATCACCATAACATGTCGCTGTGCAGGGCCTCTGTGGCAGTGCGGCACGCTGCCATCAGCGAATGCAACCCACTGGATCCGCGCCGGCCACGCCGAGCGCTCCGCTGCGCCGCCAGCGACCGCGGCGCGCGGCGCGGCGTCCCGCAGTCTGCGGCCCCCCGCACCTGGCCGGCCAGCTTCGCCACATCGACCGTCGACGTCGGCGGCGGCGGCGGCGGCGCGCTCAGCCACAATCGATTCGCGGCGCCGCCGGCGGCGCGCCGGTCCCGGCAGCTGGCGGCGTTGCCGGAGTGGCAGCGGCGGCGGCGGCCGCCCAGCGCGCCATGGGCTCGGAGCGGCCGCGCATCAGTGTGACTGCGTGGACAGCCGGCTCGCCGGGCGGCGAGTCTCCGCCGGCCTCGACGCGGCTCGCCTCGACGCTGGCGGGCGAGCTGGCGCGGCTGGGGCTGCCGCTGGCGGCCGGGCGGCGCGGCGTCGGCGCCGGCGCGCGCCTCCAGGTGCCGTCTGCCGGCCGGGCCGGCGCCGCCGGCGCCGCTGATCTCTGGAGCGACGAGGCCGAGCTGATTCGCCTCGTGCGGCCTGCTCAGTCGCATGCTCGGCATGCCCAAGAGCTTCAGCACGGGCGACATCGCGCGCCTGCAGGAGGAGGTGGCGCCGCCGCGGCGCGCTGTCAGCCAGCCGGCGCCGCTGAGCGCGCACGCCGAGCTTCAGCAGCCCCGCTTGGACCCGGCCAGCCGCTCCTGCAGCACGTGGGTGGCCGTCGGTGACCTGGGCACCAGCTCGCAGCTGCCGTCGCCGCAGGCACGCCAGCAGCCGCCGGCCGGCCAGTCGCCCTTCTCTGCCGCCGACCTGGTGCGCGCCGTAAACAAGAAGGTATGCCGAGTCTGCGCTCACCAGCCCCCCACCGCCGCCTGTCGCCCCGGGCTGCGCAGGGTATGCGGGCCTGTATGTGTCAGTTCACGGATCGCTGATTACTGCGACCAAGCCGCGATCAAGGCCGTACTTTTCCTTTTTAAAGGAGCTCACCCTGGGAACGCGCCCCCTCCTCTCCCCCCCCCCCCCCGCCGTGACGTGTTATTGCCCAGGAAAAACAGCTCGAAACGTCCGATGGCGGTGTCAGAGGCGGCTGGCGGCGTGAGTTGGTTGGCCTGGGGCGGACTGATCCGTCACCGATCGGCTCCAGCCGACCGGGGCTGGTGGGCTGGCTGGTGTCACCGCCAGCCACAGCACCTAATCCCATCATTAGGAGTAGACGACGCTGCCCTCGTCGTTAATGACCTGTTTACACGGCCTAGACCTGGGAGGACGGGCGTCGGGCCGAGGGAATATGTGCAGCCATCAGTAATGGCCGGCCACTTACTGCTGACATAGAACACATGAAAGGAGTGCACATAAATACTGATGTTCACTTACATGGTCACGCATCATGCTAAGCTTGCTGATTATGTAAAGTACTAGACTTAATGTGGCTTATGGTTAAGCGTAATCAGTCACCTCGAGACGAATACTTCCGGTAATTGCAACGCATCCGGGGATTCATTCTGGGGTCGAACTGCATGCAGCACATACCCGAATTCATTGTAATGCATGTGACATTACATGAAACATTTTGTATGCCAGGCAAGGCATTTTACATTTTCGGAGGTCTCATAATGAAATGTGTTCAAGGATAACGTCCACACCCCGTCCAAGACCAAAAATCATGTTCATGTTAATCACGTTCAACGTTGAGTTGAATACGCTGAACTGAGTGCAATTAAGATAGCTATATTTCTAACTCAAATGGGGCTAGCGAAATATCTGCAACGTACTAAACATTTGTTAACTTCTACGAAACATTGTCTTGGGCCTCATGAGCACATTTTGAGTCGGGCATGTTTTGACTCGTTTGTTTCTCAGAAGCCTGCACGAACCATAAACGTGTAGTGCGATAAATTGACACTACTGCGTGCTGCGTAGAATACGGCCATTTGTATATTAGGGGACGTCAAGGACAGGATAAACACTCGGGTAACCGTGTGGAATGAGTGACCGCGGCGCTGGTTACACATTTTGAGAAATCACAGCTACGGGTATGTTTGTGGGTATGGGTAAGGCGTTGAGCAAATGTCGGGTAGGTACTCCAAAGCATTACGCAATGCTAGTGCTCACGCTTCTTTCAGCCACAGTTTGTCTTCATTCGCACTGTTTTTTAGTAATCCACGCAAATAATTTCACGTGTGTGTAAGTTTTCCTGGGCCTCTTCCCATAGGCTAAAACTAAGTTCTGCTGCATTAATGCGCACGTGTGGGTGACGGGTGGGTACAACTAATCGGGGATTGTGAGTGGGTGGGTGTGGGCATAGCCACACGACTATCGGGGGGGGGGGGGGGGGGAGGGAGTTGCTTGCGGGACGCCTCATCCGTGAAGGTCTCTGGTGTGCATGCTTAATGGCTCGATCATTACCATTTTGCCGCCTGTCTGTTGGACAGACACATTGAGCTAATTAGCCATAAACCATTTATTTTGTCTCCTGTACCCTACGGTATTGCTTCATCAAAAGTCCAACAGGGCTTCACCCCCATTGAGAGTTTGTGTGTTACCGCCCCGCGTCAGTGGGCAATTCGCAGGATGTTTTTTTCGCGCGATGTGTGTACCCGACAGTGACAAGTTCCTGCATTTGGCAGTGAATTAATGTGGTCTAGAATAACCTGAATATTGGACTGACGGACACGCACGGCCGTGACTCGTCAAGATGCCGTCTTCAATACAAGTGTATAACAAGATACCCGAAACAAACATTACAGCCACAACAAACAGGCTGTTTGAAAAAGCGCGTGAAGCCAATGAAGCGTTTCATCATGGGAAGTCTCAGTGCCATGACTTAGGAGTGTCCAGGCTTGAAGTTACATCATGAGCTCCAAACACGACACTGTAAATCGCCAGCAAGCTCAAGTACCAAAAAAATGGAGCACGAACGTCAGTCGAGCTTGGGGTGCAACTGATGCCTGCGACCTTGTTGTGGCGGCTTTGTGATTTAAAGGGCCGTCACGATCGAGTGGTTTGTGCCGGCGGCTCCCACGTGGGCTCGGATTCGAAACCCACTTGTGCCGGGTTCATAGACACGCTGTACTCCAAGTACGCATGGAATTATATGGCGCAACATTGGAACTCGAACGCTTCCTGCTATCACTGCGGTGTGGGGGCAAACATGACTTTATTTAAGATGAATCGCACTTTGGTATCCCACGCAGGGTGTGTCCTCTTTAATATCCTACTCACAGGTCATATTATTGGGGAACCAGATACACGACCTTGATGGGCAGGGATTCAAACGTCCCAAATAGTTAGGTGGGAAGCGGTCCCGGATTCGATTGGACATCACAGCTCATGATGCGGGAAGCTGACAGATTCGATTGGACATCACAACTCATGATGCAGGAAGCTGATAGATTCGATTGGACATTACAGCTCATGATGCGGGAAGCTGACAGATTCGATTGGACATCACAGCTCATGATGCGGGAAGCTGACAATTTGAGTTACCGCGCACCATCCCAGCACCCCCATTTGAGCACCCCACACCCTGCATCCTAGTGTGTAGGCAGGCCTGGATATTGTGCATTGATGACACGGATGCTTGCTGCTGATGTACTAGTCGGATTAAAAATCACATAACACGCATCATGTGTCACTTAATTATCACGGAGAATAGAAAAAGAGGTGATAAGAATAATGACATCGACTGCGGTCCCCGTGTGGTGTGTAAGCATGTGCACAGCGTTTTTGACAGTCAGTTCCGACCGTCGGCAGGCGCGTTATGAAGTCCTGAGGAGTGGTTGATGTTTGGTTTTCAGCCGTGCACGCGCCAGAAATTTTGAAATGCTGTTCTCACAACCAGCCGGGTATGCAGACAGACACGTGTATTCGTGTGTGGGTACGGGTGTTTGCTGCTGATGTGCCTGACTTGTAGGTGTACGTTTTCGGGGCGGGACGAGCCTGGGGGAACGTGCGAGTTTTTGTACATCTTCGACACGGGACGAACTCGGTGGAAGGCGGACATCGGGCGTAATGGGCCGCATCAGGCTTCAAAGGGACGAACTCGGTGGAATGCGAACATCGGGCGTAATGGGCCGCATGAAGCTTCAGAGGGACGAGCTCGGTGGAGGGCGGACATCGGGCGTAATGGACCGCATCAAGCTCCAGAGGGACGAGCTCGGTGGAGGGCGGACATCGGGCGTAATGGACCGCATCAAGCTTCAGAGGGACGAGCTCGGTGGAAGGCGGACATCGGGTGTGATGGACCGCATCAAGCTTCAGATACCTGCGTACTGCGTGCGATTGGCACTCGAACGAGAGGGGATAACTTCGCCAAGCGGTTATGATATGCAAGCTGGTCCTTCGCGCCCCTTCCGGGTGAACGCGCTTATTGACCGTGTCAATGTTGTCAAAGACAACAGGACGCAGATAAGGGCGTAGAAGCACGCGACGCTGACCTCTTTGGCACCACTGCTCGATGGGGGTGCTCTTCTTCTTCGACATGAAAGCTCAACTAATTTAGTATCTGGTCGAATGCGTGCTTATTTGCTCTGTGGCGGGCGCATGACAGATGGGGAGCTCTCTTATGGAGACGACGCATCGACTCCCGCATGCTGTCGGTATACTCGACTGCGCTATTCGGCTGTACTTTATCAGGAGGAAGTTCTAGTTCAGCGTTTGCCAGGAGCATAGACTCTGATTAGAAGAAGCATGTGAGGCAAACAGTCTGCGTCTTGATTGCCCTACGTTGACATTAGCAAGGGAATGCGATAGTCCCAGCAGTCGGGTGAATCCCCGAAAAACTTTGCCATATTTGGAATGGTTGTCTTTGTGGTTTTTCTGCATTACCTTCACCATTTGAAGAAAGCTACAACTTGTTAATGTTTCCTTTGCAGGACGCTTGCATTCGAGATTCCGAGCTTCGCTTACGAAACACTCACTCTGGTCAGAGTGAACTGTTACCGGGCGGCCGAAGCGGGCACTGAATTTGTCAGCGAAGACCTGCGCCACACTGACAGCCCATAAATCTTCGAGAACGAAGACTTCGAGCCACTTCGTGACTAATTCTACCACTAACAACAGATGTTTGCATCGGACGGTGCTGGGAACGAGACTGGAAAGAATATCCAAACTCACTGCTTCGAATGGTCGGAATGAAGACAAACGACACTTTGCGGCTCCTAGGGACCGGCTCAGGAGAGTTCCTACCTTTATGGTGGCAGCACTGCCGACAAGTCTGCTCACCGTCATCCTTGGTACGCAGCTAAAAGAAACTAACGGGATTAGGCTAGGAGGTTCTCCGGCTCGAAACGACCACTTAGCACGCACCCGGGTGGCCGGCTGGATATCCTTCGTTCGGGTGGAGGGGGGGGGGGGGGGCAATTTGTCCACCCCCCTTGAGATCTCAAGAACTATGAGAGCTACAGAAACCAAATTCACAGGGTATATTGACCTTTGCATGAACTCACTTAGGTCAAAGTTTGAGGTTCCTAGGTCATGACTGTCGGGGCAAATAAAGTCAAACAAGGTCAAATTCCAGGCTGGTTTCCAAATTGCCCCCAGAACCTAGATAACTGCTTCTAAACAAAAGATCACGTGCTCATTGAAAGCTAGTGACCTTTTTTGAACTTCTGAAGGTCATGGTGACCCAAATCATACAAGACTGCTCTGAGTTTTGCATTTGAATAAGCGACAAAAATTACGCTAGGCAGTATGCTTCTAAAAACCAAATGTTGACCTAGGTCATTTTAGGTCAATGACCTATTCTGACCTCTAAGAAGTCCATGGAAGATGTAGAATTCGGTTCCTGCCATCAATAAATTCGAAATGAGCACCAGAAACTATCCCATACAGCA